CACAAACAACAGTTAATCCACCTTTCAATTCATACAAAACTTAGTTACATAAATGATTAATTTGACAAAACAATACAAAATTACTTCAAGAAAAACAGGTATAAATATGTGAGTCATTGACATTTTGTGCCAAAACTCAATTAGACAAATGATTAATTCTGACAAAACAGGTAGATTCAGAAGAAAAACAGTCACAATAATATTTCAAGAAAAACAGGTGATTCAAAAATATTCTAATTTTGGCATTTTATGGCAAAACCTAATTATATGAATGATTAATTTTTAAAGAACGAGTACGACCAATCAGCCTTACATCCTTCTTGTTGAAAGAACTTGAGAGGATACTGGACGGACATATCACGAGGGTGGCATTTTATGCACCCCCCCCCCACCAGTATGCTTATCAAACCGTCAAATCAACAGATTTAGCATTAAACAACCTCGCAATCTCCTTGACAACAAGGAGATTGCGGTCGCTGTATTTCTCGATATTGAAGGAGCATTTGACAATGCACTACCTACATCTATAGGATCGTCTCTGGCTAGGAAAGGTATAGAATCGACCATACCTGGCTGGATCTATACCATGCTGGTAAACAGAACTCCAACTACGACTCTTCAAGGCTAGGCCATCGTGTTCATTATCACTAGAGGCTGCCCTCAAGGTGGGGTACTATCTCCCCTTCTGTGGTCGCTCCTGATTGATAGTCTGCTTGATGCCCTAGACAGAAGAAAAGTAGATCTGCAAGCTTATGCAGATGACCTTGTCATCTTGGCAAGGTCCAAAGCACGATGGACCTGGTGCCCGAGGGAGCAGATGTCTGTCAACCCCAGCAAAACTGTGATAATCTCCCTCACCAGTAGAAGGAAATTAGACGATATAACGCCACTTTCCCTCAATGGTGAGGTCATTCCATTTGGAATGAAGGTGAAATATCTTGGCATTGTCCTTGGTAAAAAATTCACCTAGAACGCTCACTTGGAAAAAGTTCTACACAAAGCCAGACTGTCCCTATGGACATGTCGAAGAATTTGTGGAAAAACTTGGGGTTTAGGTCCCAAACAAATCCATTGGATTTATGTGATGATTGTTAGACCAATGATCACTTATGGTGCAATTGCCTGGTGGCCGAAGACTTTACAGAAAACGATCAGGCGAATCTCTCTGGCTTACAGAGACAGGCTTGTCTGGCTATCAGTGGTGCCATAAGTACCACACCGTCAGCGGCCATGGAGATCCTTCTAGATCTACCTCCTCTCCACAGTTTTCTGGGGAGAGAGACTAGATGGACTGCATATAGACTTGTGAACGTTGCCCATTGTACAAATAAATTTAATGCAGAGTGCAACAGACTGTTGCCTCCAACTGTCAACTACGAACTGCCTTATAAAGTACTGTTCCCGAGTAGGGAGGACTGGATCCTCCGGGAGAAGGAACTATTAAGAGCAGACAGATGTTGGTTCACAGATGGATCAAAAACACCTTCCGGTTCTGGTGCAGGTGTTTTCAGTCGCAGACCCAGGACAGAGATATCAACCTGCCTAGGAACCTATGTGATTGTATTTCAAACGGAAATTTACGATATTGAATTGTGTGCGGAGAGCTTGGAAGCTTCCAACCTCATACACAAGTCAAGCGGCGTTGGAAGCTCCTGGCTCCTACTGAGCAATGTCTAAATTGGTAGCAAATTGCCAAAAACGACTCTCTTCGATAGGAAGACTTAACAGACTGTCTCTGGGGTCTGAATTCTTGGCCATACTGACCTGGAAGGCAATGAGGCTGCTGACTCCCTTGCAAAGGAGGGTGCTGCAACCTGCTTCATCGGACCAGAACTTGTCATTAGTATCGCTTTAGTCTTTGCCAAACAAAAATTGAACACCTGGACAGCAAGAAGATTTATGGACTTCTGGCAGATTCTTCAAGGATTGGCTCACTCTAAGGCGTTTATTCATCCTTCGAAGCTTGATACCAAACAGTAATTGGAATAGTAGGGATGAACTACGATGTCCACAAGGCCTTCTTACAGGTCACTGTAATTTGAATCATCATATGCAGAGACTCGAACTGTCGGAAGACAGTGTGCGTCGCTTCTGTTTGGAAAATGATGAAACAGCAGAGCACATACTTATCATTTAAAAATATGTTAATTATTGTCCCTTTATGCCAAAACTTAATTGGATGAATGATTGATTCTGGAAAAAGAGGTATATTTAAAAAAAACAATTACAACACATTATTACTACTAGGAAAACTCGATCTAGGAACATTAACGAGGCTCCCCAAAGCGGTCAGTTGTAAAGCCAAGTTTCTACATCGACCCCACCGAATGAGATTCGTCCTATTTCTTTCAATGCAGATTTCACTGCAAGGCAACCAGATAAAATCGGATTTAAAAAACAAATCATACAATAAACTCGTTTTACAGCCTAGCACACTGATGATACCTATAGCTAATCGAAATAGCGTTGTCTAGTATTGGATTACGACTATTTTATTTATTGGTTCCTGGTCTCACCTTATTGCCTGGCAGTGTTACCGATATCGAAGATTGTCCTTGCAACCGATCGTCTGGATCATCTTTATTTTCATCTTGGGCGAGCAAGGTTTCAGTTTTCTGACAATCCCATAGATGGCGTTCGTTTGCAGGTTCAGGTGCTAGTTTGTGTTACTGAAATTTAGAACTAGATCTACTATTATTACAAACTTCTATGACTCATCGTCGAAGTAATTTTCTGGTTTTGATTTTTTTTTAGTGGTCTTTTGTCATCGCAAAGAGAGGTAGCGATGATATCGGAAATGATCCACACAGCATCACTCGTCCACGATGACGTCATCGACCAGTCGGATTTTCGGCGGGGGAAACCCAGTGTCAACGTCAAGTGGAATCACAAAAAAGTAAGCATTCATTTCACACAATTTACTGTTCAATTAAGCGAGGAGTTTTTTCCGAGCTTGTAAGAAAGAAAAGTGGCAGTGTTTGTTACAACAACATAATGAACTAACATTCCACTGTTTTTATGTCACATCCTGGAGAAATGTGTCCTATAAACTAGAGGTATTTTTGAGCTGCATTGTAGTTATTTATTTTTCTATTTTTTCTCAAGAAGATGAATTGATCCTTGACATTTATAGAGAGAGGATTCATTTATGTTGAAATGATTTGAGATGACTGACGTTTTATTGAATTTTGCAATTTTTCCTTGAACTTAAAACCATGGATGGACGGCTTGCAGCTGACTAATAATGTAATATGTTTCATATGTATGTTAATACTAATACAATTTCTGTCCCATAAAACAGTATCTTTAACCCAGTTCTTCTTGAACAGCCTCTGCAAATTTAATAATATGCGTAACATTTGAACTATGTCTATCCAATATTTTAACTGTATTTTTAGTTACCTATCTGTTGCTTTTTGACAGATTTTTGTGCGCATGTAGTTTCATAAGCACATTGGGATATAACCTAACTTAACCTAACCTAATCTAGTTCCTTCGAAAAATTCTCTGTAAATTTTATTAAACAGGGGTAACATTTGAAGTATGTGCATATGAAGATTTTTACTGTATTGTTACTTAGCTGTTGCTTTTTGACAGATTTATGAGCGCTTGTAGTTTCATAAGCACATTGGGATATAACCTAACCTAGTTCCTGACCTAGTTCCTTCGAAACAGCCTCTGTAAATTTATTAAACAGGCGTAACATTTGAAGAATGTTCATCCAAGATGTTTACTGTATTGTTACTCAGCTGTTGCTTTTTGACATCATGTAGTTTCATAAGCACATTGAGTAATAAACATGTGATTTACTGCACGTAAATAAACAATAAGTGAAACAATAAAAATGTCAATTATAAGGCATCAAAATCGTAAATTATTGTGATTGAATGATGCCCATTTTAGCTCTCGGTTTTATAGTTGTAATTCAATGATCCCACTTTAAATCTACATTTAATTTCATAACCTATACCTTACGATTTGATTTCATTTAATACATTCAATTATCAATTTCATCATTAGAACACAAATTGAATAAATAAGAATCGTTTAATGCTATTTTATCATTAAACAAATGTTTTGAATTCTGAAAATTCTAGGAGACTGAAACAACAACCTTTCTCTGTCAAATATAATACGTCATAGCCATGATTGAACTCACCCTTCTGTCAAATATAGCCTTTTCGAAGTGATAGCTTCTTGTGGGAGGGTAAACCGCGTCGTTACCTAACGCGTAACGGCGCCAGTTTGTTGGTCTTTCCTTTCTCTCACGCGTACGTCCGCGGAAGGCAGGCTCCTCCTCTCTCGTCAGACAGACGAGCAGGGTATAGTGTGCGGTAGACATGTACTGTTGACAGTATTATAAAAATCTAACTAGCAAGCACGTAATATTCTTTCATTTCGTGAAACATGGCGTATAGATTTTGATACTAATTTTATCTATGTACATTATCAGTATCATTATTTAATCCTATGAAAGTAACAGTTGGCTTATGATAGTTATAATATATATACATACACAAAATTATCAATAAAAGATTTGATTAATAAACAACCTTTTCTGACATTATCGTATTAATATGATATAATGTAAAATTCAAGTTGAACAATTTTTATATTAAATAGTTCAACTTAGATTAGTTTAAGTTGTCACTACTGTCTAGCATCCCGAGACGCACACGTTTTTTTAAGGAGACTAGAATATAACTCCTACAAACCGTTCAGTGCAAATCAGAAGAGAAAGACAACGCTGACTATAAGCTCCGCCTAGAAAAATATTTTTTTTTAGTTTCAATGGAGCTTTGGCTCCATTATTTTTTCTTGGCTGGGTCAATTCGGGGCCAAGATGGTCTATTTCTTTTGATACGAGTACCTTTGAATTTTCACAACTCACCCATTCGAGTTGAACTCGTACACCCTGTATATGGCTGCCTGAATTGTTTCGAGTTTTATTAGTAACTTTTCGTGAAAATATGCGATAGAAATGAAAAGTATTGCTCGATTTTGTCATCAAATCGAGTCCTCTGTGCCGATTGAATTCCAATTAAAAGAAACTTCGTCGTTTCCAAATCAGTATCCGACGAATGAAGTCTCATCGAAAATTCTTCACGTTAATCCGCCCTAATTTTCATCATATTGGTTTATACAACCTTGACGAATGATTATGAAAATTTCTCGCCGGGTTAGGTCGACCGTATTTTCTATTTGGTTATACTCGTAAATCGATTTCTTTGAGGTTTTATGTGGCCTGACAAAAATAATGTGAATGAATTCTGCAGGCGTTCTTATTTATTCTTCAAAATCGTCAACAATGACATATCGCTTATTGATATATGCCTTGTATTGAAAAAATATTACAGCTCACAGTTTATAATCAACTCATTGAATATCTAGAAAACAATGATATTTTACTAAAATATCAGTCAGGTTTCAGAAAACATCATTCTTGTGAGACTGCATTATAAGTCACAATATCAAAATGGAAAGAATCAATAGATAAGGGACATTATATCATAGCCGTATTTTTAGATCTTAAAAGAGCTTTTGAGACAATTGATCGCCACGTTTTTCTAAATAAACTGCAGAGTATTGGATCAGGGAAACTGTTTTGTTATGCTGACTGATTATTTATCACAACGCAAACAGGTAACCAAAATAAAGGATTCAGTGTCATCATCTTGCGATGTCATTTTCGGGGTACCTCAGGGGAGTGTTTTGGGACCTATATTATTTTTAATCTACCTGAATGATGTATAGATACCATCCATGGTTGTGATTTCATGAACCTTTTTGCAGACGACAGTTTGTTATCAATTCCAGGAGATAATATAGAAACAGTAGCTGATCGAATGAATAATGAACTAAGAAATGTTTTCAAGTACATGAATAGCAATAAACTAAAACTCAACACCTCCAAAAAAAAAACGAATCTTTCGTCATCTTATATCACCGCAGGTTAGTGGTTTAAACGTAGCAAACCACTTCTCAACAATTGATTTTCGTAGTGCAAAGCCCGAATAATGTTTTTCAAGCCAACCCCTGAATTCAACAGATTCTCTATCGCCAAAAGGCAATGCTTCATCAACACACGAAATCCTTTTCATCCATTTGATTGAAACTAACAAAAGTTGCTTCACTCAAAATGTTCTATTTGACAAACTAATATTCCGACAGCTGTGAAATTCGTACGCGTGTCTTTTGAAGGTTAGGGCGAACTAATATGGATTCAATGCCAGTAGCGCCATCTGTGTGTTAGCCTACGAACTGCCATCTGTGAGATGTACACCTAAGTTTGAGTTTCCTTTGACCACCCATAGATGGCGATTTTATAAGGGGAGTTATGCGTCGTTTTGCTAAAAAGGATGAAGTGTTGATGGTCTAACTTAGTTCTGAGATTTATTCATAACCGTATGATGCGTACTTGTTGAGGAAAAGCGTTTTTATTAGATTTTTCGAGGGATGTCTGTTCTTTCATTTCGTATGGCTCAGAAGTGTTTGTTGAACATCGATACAGAGTTGAAACTATGCCGTTGTTGCATTTCGTTACTGAGGAATACCTCAGTTTGTTTGATTTTCACACAATAGCATCTCGACTTTTCCAAACCAGATGTGTTATACTCCGACCCACATTTGCGGTCACACCCTTTATAATTCATAAATGATTCATGTAACGTATATTCGCTAAGTGAAATATTTGATATTATGCGAAAGAACGAAGCGGGGAAAAAGTGGTCAGTCAGAATATTATATCGAAGATCGCCTCGGCAAAGTATGTACACAATCGGCGGTTGTATAATTTGAGACGGCTTGCAAAATTTATACAACAAAGTACGTTCCAGCACACGAGTGAAAGTAGAGTTTAAAAAACGCACTCTTCAACCGGATTGGGCGTCGAACAATCTCAGTGCGTGGTCGTTTTTCAACTAGAGATAATCAGGAGAAACGATTTTGTTACCATCGGATTGAAAAATAGGATTGCATGAAACAAGTGGTCGAGATTGAATATGGTACTAGTTAGTATATTCTTTTGAGTTAATCTGGATCTGCTGGAAATACATCGTGGTCCTATGACTTATAATTACTTATCCAGCTTTGATGTAGTGGATGGAGACGGTGCAGAGAGCAGAACTTGATTCGGCAAAGGGCAGAGAATTAGATGTTTAGGAATTACATGAGTAACTAAGAGAACTCCACTAGCTGCAGTGGAAATACCTAGCTACTGCTTAGCTGCTTCTTAAAAAAAACTTAACGATTGCTTGTTTTATATTTGACCATCAAAGAGTCAGATCATGAGTTCAATTGATGTTTTCGTGACTGGTTTCAGCGTAGGTGTATTCGGTAGGCATTCCTGTGTATGATCTCAGCTTGGAACCACTCAATGTTATGTTGATGGGTCCAAACATGCTCTGCTATTCCTGATTTGCTGGTTTCCCCTCGCTGTGTGTGTTTCTTGTGCTCGGCAACGCGAACATTGGCCTCTTAGTTTCACCGATATAGGATTTTCCGCATTCACAGGGTACCCGGTAAATGTAATGGGGGAAATGTAAAGTTGAGTTCAATTCATGATCAAATTCACTTCGAAAAGTATTCAAATTGATGTGTCAAATTGTTGGGTTTTAATTTTTAAAGGGATTTGTTTCTAATTCACATATTGGCAACAGCGCCTATATCAAGTTGAAATAATTTATACGTACCTAGACATTCTACTTTAAAAAAGGAAAATTATCTTTATAAATCAACAATTAAGGCAAAATATAAATTATAGTTCAATACCACCTCCACAAGCCACATAAACAACAGTTGTTTTGTTATTTATTTATATAGAGGTTAGGTGCATAAAATGTTATATGTCTCAGAATGTCTCGGAACTCGGAACATAAGTAAACAGAGCAGCACGCCTCTGAAATATGTCATATTTGTTTGTCTTATGCAGGTAACAGATTCATTGTCCTTTATTAGCTATAACCGATGTTGCCAAATGGCAAAATAGAAACGAATCCCTTTAAATGTTGAATGCATTATTTCATTCCTCTTTTTTAAAGAAAAAGGTTGAAATGATGAGTATAAAATGCGTTGTTTTAGAGTTCTTTTATGAAAATTACTTGATTTTCGTCAGGAGGAACATTAAAACGTGGACTTCGATTCGACGAATCTCCATAACAATGTTCTTAACTTACTCAACATTTTCTTCGGTTGTTGATACGGTCCCGATAAGTCAACAGAACATCCGTTTTCATCATAATTCTCAAAAATGAAAATCACTCAATTTAAGTAATTTTTTTCTTTTGGATATGACTATTAACTTTTATTTCTTGAAGTGAAATTTTACATTATGATTCGTGATTTTCATCAGACTTGTGACTTCGTTAAATACAATTCACTGTAATGTTTCCCATAACTACATTTTTCTCTACTCTGAAAAAAAAATCAATGCATATTAATCCAACTAAGAAGGAAATAATATTCCAGATTTTTGCAGATGGTTTGAGAAAATACTCCTATTTTTTCTTTACAGGTCACAATGGCTGGAGATTTTATCCTAGCTGTAGCGTCTATGATGATCGCAAGATTGAGAAATAACGAAGTCACGTCTGTTTTAAGTCAGGTTAGTTGTCATTTCTCTCGAATTAACGTTTCACATCATTGTTAACCTGCCAATCAATATGTAAGTCGCCAAGCTCACAATAACTTTTAGATATCCTCAATGAGGGTGAAAAAATACAAACTCAACTGTTCATTATTGAGTTTCAGGTTGTAACAGATCTAGTCCAAGGAGAATTCATGCAGTTAGGATCTAAAGAAACTGAAAACGAAAGATTTGCTCACTATCTCACCAAAACGTACAGAAAAACAGCCTCGCTCGTCGCAAATTCAGTCAAGTCGGTTAGTATATACAAATAGTGGTCTCCACGGCCGCCAGATTTGAATCATCTATCTTTATCAAACTAACTCACAGGTAGCTATATTGGCCGAAGCCGACGAGGACATCACCGAAATATGCTTCCAGTACGGCAGAAACCTTGGACTGGGATTTCAGTTAGTCGACGATTTGCTGGACTTTGTTTCGTCAGCCGAAGCGATGGGAAAACCGACAGCGGCAGACTTGAAGCTTGGCCTTGCAACTGCACCCGTTCTCTTTGCCTGCGAAAAAGTACGACACTCTTGAAACTTCAAAGAACTTCTTACGAGTACTGTTTTTTTTTTTTTTTTAGTATCCTGAATTGAATCCGATGATAATGCGGAGATTCCAAGAGCCAGGCGACGTAGAAAGAGCTTTCGAACTGGTGCACAAATCCAGAGGGCTGGACCAGACGCAGTTCTTGGCGCGGCAGCACTGCCAAGAGGCCGTCAGGCTTGCCAACCTGATGGCCGAAAGTCCCTACCAGAAGGGACTCATCGTCACTGCCGATTTCGTGCTGAACCGCATGAAATAACGCTCAGAAATAATAGGTACGGTCTAGGTAGATTACTTGTAGTTATGAAATTCACCTGAGAGTGGTTCGTTGAGCGGTCCTGATGGATGGGATTCTGAGTGTTTGATGTTTATGAGGTGAAAGGCTCTGCACTGTTCCAATAGAGGCATTAAAGTAATCCAATAATAATTTAGAAAGGCTCCCTCTGTAGCTCTCTTTGTATGCCAAGCTATATATATTCTTGTGTAAATATGACGATGTTATCGAGCGTAGATGACAAACGAAACCGGTCTTGGTACCGTGCCTTGTGGAACACCTGAAAGTATTCGCCTTTGGAACAATGCAGAGTCCTTCTGTTGAAAGGTCGACCGTTAAACGCACCTATATTTTATCTACAGTAGCTTACAGTGTAACACCGTACACTTGAAACGGGATATTTTTGGTCGCTATGCACGTCGGGTGGTAGAAATGATTATGAATGTTTGATGCCTGTTCTGCGTGAGTGTGTTGATTTCGTTGATGTTTTAGGGCGGAAGAGAGCAACTAGGAAGATTAACTCAAAGATGTACAGATTTTTGTGGATATTAAATAAGTTTATATTGCTAATTACTATACAGGGTGGCAACTGATTTGAACTCTACTTTGGGATATTATTGGAGTATCAACTAAAAAATGGGACCTAGTATGATTTTTTGAATGGTGGGTCAGTGAAGATATATAATATCACTCATTTTTAAATACACAAAGTGGTCAAAATACATAAAAAATCAATTAGAATTACGAATTGGAAGTGAACAAAAACATTAGCTTTTTAGAGTTTTTATAGAATTGCTTTGGTTGATGACTATTTTCTTCATAAAAAAAATAAGCAAATTTTAATTTATTCAATCTATGAAACCACCGAAAGGTCAGTAAGATCAGTGTAATTCATTTAATGTCGTTATATACTTTAATAATTGATGCATTTATACATGAAATTTCGGTGTAATAACCTGAAATGACTTGAAACGATAATTTTCTCAACAACATATTTCATTATAATGACTTTGTTACTTCAAGGAAAATTTTGTTAAATGTAATTTCAGAAGTTATTATGGCGCTGTAATATATTACAGTAACATTGTCACTGTCACTGTAATATATTTGATCGACATTGTTCATTATAAATATGAAATTTGGTCTATGAAATTAAAAAGTTTGTGCTTACTCATTTTAAATAATTTACTTGTGATTCTTTGAAATGTTTTGTCAAATATAGTTGATTTCAAAACAATTATTATCTTTTCACGTTATTTTCACTATAGCCCAAAATATTTGAAATTCATCCTTTTTTGTCTCTATTGGAAAATAGAAGTAATTTAAATGATTGTTTTTACCACTTTACATGAAGATGGTTATCAAGCCGAAACGTGCATAGTGAAATATATCTAATTTTGAATCTATTGTAAAAAATATACTAGTGAAACCCAAATATGAAATATGAGTTTCTTCATTGTTGTAAAACCATACTATTTCGACAAAAAAACTTTTTTTCTATTTTTTTACTCATAATAATTCCCAAAGTGTCAAACATTAATCTGCTTCACCCATTTAAACTACTCGGTTAAGGTTGGTTGAGGTAAAAGCCAAATTGAAGTTTGAGTATTAGGAATCAAATCGGGTCATCAGGATGGCTACGCCATGTAACTTATTTTTCACTTTCAGTATATTGCAAAAACATAATCATGAGGAATGAAATTTAAGTTTAGGATTTTCTTTTTTCTTTTGGTCATAAAATGCTCATTAAATTATTCAATTGCTCGTGTAAAAAAAGACCAGTTCCACGCTGTATATACTTTTATTGGATAGAACCTTGACAATGGTATCACACACTCAACCGTGGCACTGTTCGAGCCTAATTTCAATAGCAGATATCTTCTTTTTTGTAAGCAACTTGTTTCACGATTTGGTACTTTTCAGTTGTAGTTGAACTGTGAGGAAAAACTTCTTCCCGGTATCAAATTATGAAACACATTTTTGTTATCTGTTTTGTAGTAATTATTATTCTTTAAGTGTATATAAATATGTACTGTTATTTTTTTATTATGGATATATTGTTAATATGTATATTTGAGTCACTGTGTAATTTTTTAATGGAATAAAAAAGTATGACTGTTATTTTCAGACTTCCAATTATTCCCTAAACAGTCCACTACAAACCCAGCTATTTCCTATGCCTGGCATTCATTTAGTTCTAGCATTTTGAGGCTTTCAAATTGAAAAACAAACATTTTCTTTTGTTCTTCGAAAATCACAGAAAATGTGAATTTTGTAACATTTCATTTTTCCACTTTTCATTTTATACTATTTGCGAGACGATCTGAATACAAAGAAACCCCTTTTTGCTAATTTTTTCAACTGTTTCTAGGTAATTTGGGTCTGCTAAATCTAAAAATGCCACCAGATTTGCTCCATCAGATCGTTTTCAGAAAATACGACAACAGATCACATTTCTAACATATAGGGTGATTTAACGCAGCACTACCTACATATACAGTGTGTCTCACTTCTCATGAAAACACCCCCGTATCTTCCGTAATATTCGAGCTGGAACGATGAAACTCTCTGGACTGATGGAAATGCTCAAAATGCACCTACCACCCGAATGGGGTTGGCCAAAGTGATATACACTGTCCGCCACTCGCGATGGAACGCCCCATTTTTACGGTAAAACATATTAGGGGGCAAAATAGGCTCAAAATTCCTTCAGATTCGTGATCAGGACTACCAACTCACTATGAATACACTTTTTTCCTGAAAAAATTTCAGTCCCGAAAAATCCGAATTTGTCTCACTTCTTATGGAAACACCCCCGTATCTTCCGTAATATTCGAGGTGGAACGATGAAACTCTAAGGACAGATGGAAATGCTCAAAATACACCTACCACTTGTATGGGGTTGGCCAAAGTGATATACACTGTCCGCCACTCGCGATGGACACCCCATTTTTACGGTGAAACATATTAGGGGGCAAAATAGGCTCAAAATTTCTTCAGATTCGTGATCAGGACTACCAACTTACTACGATTACAGTTTTTTTCCTGAAAAAATTTCAGTCCTGAAAAATCCGAATTTGTCTTACACCCCCGTATCTTTCGTAATATTCGAGCTGGAACGATGAAACTCTCTGGACTGATGGAAATGCTCAAAATGCACCTACCACCTGAATGGGGTTGGCCAAAGTGACATACACTGTCCGCCACTCGCGATGGAACACCCCAGTTTTACGGTAAAACATATTAGGGGGCAAAATAGGCTCAAAATTCAGGTAAAATTTTTGAGAATCATCCATAAGAATAAATAACATCTTTCAAGGTATTTATAGATATTAATTCAAAAGTTGATTATACAAAATCATTTCGAAATTGTTCATTTTAACTAATGGAAATAGGATTTCAATCGTAAGTTCTAAGCTTTAGTGCATCAAACCCTAGGGTAAGTCCCTGTTCTTTGTTAAATTCCCTATTAAAGCAATCATTCGAAGGAGTACACTCTGATTTCTTTATCCAGAGACATTTTATTTTTGTCGGTGATAATTCAGTATTCGATATTTGATTTCATTCACTTCAAAGGTAGGGATGCAAAACCATATACCAGTGTAACTAAGTTGGTCTACAGTGACAGATGTTGAAAAGGGGTACAGTATTTCTGGATATGTCTGTAGATGGCGTCCGAATAAGATTTTTCAATTTGGTAACCATTTTCAGCACTTATAATTGAATTTATATGAAAAATCCAGAACCGACCTCCGCTCTTGCTGGTCATTATGCGAAGATTTTTTTTGTATTACAACAAGATAAAGTTCAACAGAAAAGTTGTTTCTCAATGAGCACAAGAATATGAAACGCAATTTTTCAAGTAATATATTGAAGTAAACATAAAAAATCACAATTTGAGGAAAATATACATATGTTCGAAAACATCATTTTGTCTATCCTCCCCTGCTAAATGTATCAAAACGTATAAATTCAGTCCTTTATGTACAGTGAAGGTAAAAAAATCAGTATATGGATATAAAACAAACAGTATTAAATACAAATCCCCCTCTTTGTAAATGTTACAATTGGAATAATCATACAATTTTATTAAAAGTTATTATTTAAATGTATATTGCTTATAACATACTCAATAAATTATGGAAAGTGAATATTTACAATGTATTTCAAATAGAAGTTATCAAAAACTATGCACGTTTCTATACTCATAAAAGTAAGTTACATGACCTCTTATTTTTTGTAAATGTAACGTAAAAAGGACCCAGTATAAGTTCTGGAATGATGAAAACAAAAAAATAGAGGTTAGTTTACTTGCTGAATGTTATTGTATCCTGAGATACTTTTAAATTTGAAAAATATCATATCTGATAACCTCTAAAAAAACCGTCGATCAGGATTTCTATCACTTTTTAAAAAAATTCATGAGAAAAACTAAAAAGTTTTGGAAAAAACACGTCAAGAAATATCGACTTCTGTGGTCCTCAAAGGCAATATTAATAATATCAGGAGTTTCAAAAGTTGGCCCCTTCAAGTTTGATAAACCATTGAAAGAGGGTGGAATTTCTTCATTTGTCAATTTTGCTTGCGTAGAAAGGCTCCTGGTAATTTTCAATCAAACCTATCCTTGCTGCTGGAACAGAATTTCTTCTTCTCGATAGGATTTCTCTCCTTTTTGATTCCTGAAAACAAATAATTCAGAAACCTGACTGTTTGCTCATATGGAATGAAATTTTCAATCTTTGTGTTACAATCCCAGAAGATGGCAAATGAGATTGTGCCGAAACGTTGTGAAAATGATTCTTGTGAGGATCGAAAACACAGAACGCACGGAGCGAAACCCGAAGGAACATCTCCATACATAGAGGGAAAAACTATTATGTTCAAGAAACAGTGTTTTTTGCTGACAAAGTAGACTCATAGACTGAAATTTGAGTAGCCATGAAGATGAAATGGACTTTTTGGACACTGAACGTAAGTAATATCTCACCCTTTTTCCTTTGTGTTTCTTGCACGTGCAGTTTCTCTTGCCTCGCCTCCCATTACTTCTAGACTTGAAACCATTTTCCTCAGTACTGCCCGTCTGCCTGTGGAGACTTGAACGTCTTCTATCTCGTATTTTTGGCGGTGGAGAGAACTCTTCCGAATTTTCGGAAGCTAACCTGAACTGCTCCAGAGCGTCCCTAAAATTCGAGACGGTATTGTTGGTGGGGATATTCAAAAATTGCCATTGATCGGTTTTATACCTAAGTTCAGGCAAAGGAAACTTTTCCACTTATACCCCCTTGGAGGTGATCTGAATACGAAAGATTTTGTGAAAGCGTCCAGAATATAAAAGTTACGATAATATGCTTACGTGTCAACTGTCCCGCAGTAGTTGTCCAACAAATAGTCCAAGGAACACTTATTGTGGCAACACTCTGTCGCTATTTGCCTCTTTTGTCGATGTTCTGTAAAAGAGTGTGAATTATGTATGAAAAAATCAGTAATTATAACTCCAGCAGTGGGGTAGTTTTTTTAGACCATAACCACAAGCAGTTTTGAATTTTTGAAAATAATACCAGCTACTGCAAAAATTTACGACGTGGAGTTCCGCAAGGATCATCATTTGAGGCCACAACTGTTTTCGGTGAATATCACTTCTATTGAGGTATAAAGTTTCAATTGAAGGATGATATACTACCCTAAAAAAACTGTACTTATAAATTTGTTATGAATATTTTATTTGGATTGAACATTGCAGAACTTAAAAAAAAGATGTGGAACATGGAATATATTTTTCAATATTTCAATTGCGATATTTAATTTCCTTATGAAGACATGCTGATACAGAAATTGTGAAATCATAACGAAAATTTCAAATCAAATCTAGATCTGAATGAATATTTGTATAAACGGAAGAAATTGCTGAAATTTAATCAGTGGGAGATGACCGTTTGGCGGGAGTTGGCCATTTTTCGCTTGATGATCGGTTTCCATATGTTGCGTATCTACGCTAGCTTGGCTGAATACGTTGTTGGACAGCATGTATGCGGCTTCCTTGAATTTTCTCCTAAACCAATGTTCCTCTCTGTGTATGATCTCAGCTTGGAACCACTCGATGTTGTGTTGATGGGTCCAAACATGGTCTGCTATTCTCGATTTGCTGGTTTCCCCTCGCTGGGTGTGTTTCTTGTGCTCGGCAATGCGAACATTTAATGACCTTTTAGTTTCACCAATAGAGGATTTTCCGCACTCACAGGGTATCCGATAAATGCAATACTTGGAATCGCAGTCCGCGTTTGGTGGCCTGGTTTTCGTGAGGCTGCTACGGATAGTGTTACCAGAGCTGAAGCAGGTTCTGATGTTTACTTGGAACCAATTCTTCTTATCTTCTCCGATAATCCTCTGATGTAGGTTGTGACGGCATTTCTTCCTTGCGAGGCTCCTGCTGTCTTTTCTACCATCGCTTTGGAGTAGCCATTCCATTAAAGATCATTTTTGATGATGTCTAGTTCTTTCTCGAGACCTTATTCGTATTACAGAGCCCAAAAGCACGGTCTAATAGGGTCTTTTAGTCGATTGATGGTGGTTGGATTCGTGATTCAGATACTGTCCCATGTGAGTGGGTTTTCGGTATACAGATGTTTCCCACTTAGTGTCGGTCCCCACTCATACGTGGGTTTTCAAATTCACTTCGTAAAGTATTCAAATTGATGTTTCAAATGTTGGGTTTTAATTTTTCAAGGGATTTGTTTCTAATTCACATATTGGCAACAGCGCCTAGAGTAATTTATACGTACCTAGATATTCTACTTTAAAAAAGGAAAATTATCTTTATAAATCAACAATTAAGGCAAAATATAAATTATAGTTCCATACACAAGCCACATATACAACAGTTGTTTTGTTATTTATTTATATAGAGGAAGATAGGTTAGGTGCACAAAATATCATATGTTACAGAATGTCTCGGAACTCGGAACATAAATAAACAGAACAGCACGCCTCTGAAATATGCCATCTTTGTTTGTCTCATACAGGTAACAGATTCATTGTCCTTTATTAGATATAACCGATGTTGCTAAATAGTGAAATAGAAACGAATCCTTTTAAATGTTGAATGTATTATTTCATTCCTCTTT